TTTAGTGTTATAAGAAATTACCAAATTGTCTTCCAAAGTATCTGTACCATTTTGAATTCCCACCAGCAGTCCTCTTGCTCCACATCCTTCCCAGCATTTGGCATTATCAGTGTTCTGAATACTGGCCATTCTACTAGTTGTGTAGTGGAATCTCATTGTTTTAATTTTCATTTCCCTGATGACTTAAGGTATGTAGCATCTTCTCATTTGCTTACTTTCCATTTGTGTATCTTCCTTGGTGAAGTGTCGAGATCTTGGCCCATTTTTTTAATTGGGTTGTTTTTTTATTGTTGGTTTTTAACAATTCTTTGTATATTTTGGATAACAGTCCTTTATCAGATATCTTTTACAAATATTTTCTCCCAGTCTGTGGCTTGTCTTCTTGTTATTTTCACATTGTATTTTGCAGAGCAGAAGTTTTTAATTTTAATGAAGTCCACCTTATGAGTTCTTTCTTTCATGGATTGTGCCTTTGGTGTTGTATCTCAAAAGTCATCCCCATTTCTCTGCATCCTCACCAACATCTGTCGTTTCCTGACTAGAGGGGAGGGGGGTAGGGGGATGGGTTAGCCTGGTGATGGGTATTAAAGAGGGCACGTATTGAATGGAGCACTGGATGTTATATGCAAACCATGAATCAAGGAACACTACATCAAAAACTAATGATGTAATGTGATTAACATAACAATAAAATAAATTTTTTTTTTTTAAAAAAGCCATCACCGTTACCAGGGTCATCTGTTCTGTTCCACTGATCTATTTGTTCTTTTGTATCCCCCACACTGTCTTGATTAATATAGCCTGGAAGTCAGGTAATGTCAGTCCTCCAGCTTTAATTCTCTTTCAATATTGTATTGGCTATTCTGGGTCTTTTGCCTCTTTCTATAAACTTTAGAATCAGTTTGTCAGTATCCACAAAATAATTTGCTGGGGGTTTACTTGGGACTGCATTGACTCTATAGACCAATTAGGGAAGAACTGACATCTTGACAATATTGAGTCTCCCAATCCATGAACATGGGGAATATCTCTGCATTTATTTTCTTTTATTTTGTTCATCAGCATTTTATAGTTTTGCTCATACAGATGTTATATACATATTTTGTTAGATGTATGCCCAAGTATTACATTTTGGGGAGTGCTAATGTGAATAGTACTGTGTTTTTAATGTCAAACTCTGTATGTTTATTGTTCATATATAGGAAAGTGATTGGCTTTTATATATAAATCTTGTATCCTGCAGCCTTTCTATAATTGTTTATTAGTTCTAGGAGTTGTTTTATCAGTTCTTTCAGATTTTCTACATAGATGATTATGTCACCTGTGAACAAGGACAGTTTTATTTCTTCCTTCTCAATCTATATACCTTTTATTTCCTTTTCTTGTCTTAGTGCATTAGCTAGACACTCTACCTTTGGATTTAATCTTCTTTTTCTAATTTCCTGTGGTCAAGACTTAGATTATTGATTTTAGGTCTTTCTTTCCTAATATATATATATGCATTTGATGCTATAAATTTCCCTGTAAACACTTCCTTCACTCTATCCCACAATTTTCATTTCTATTTAGTTCAAAATACTTCTTAATTTCTGTTGATTTCTTCTTTGATCTACATGTTATTTAGAAGTGTGTTGTTTTGTTTAATCTCCATATATTTGGGGATTTTTCACTTACCCTTTTGTTGCTGACTTCTAGTTTAATTCCTTTGTGGTCTAAGAGCAGACATTGTGTAATTTCTGTTCTTTTAAATTCATTAAAATCTGTTTTATGGGGGTGCCTGGGTGGCTCAGT